TATTATATTATTGTAGTACATAAAGATTAGTTTAATCTCAGGTAGCTCATACATGTACATGGCATTTCATAACTGTTTTATGTAAGCTCCTCCCCAACCCATCCCTGCCTCACATCAACCTCTTCTCTGACATATATATATTTCTTTCCATCCATTGGACTTGTTTGATTACCGCTTGTTATGCTAGGAACTTTAGTTAAATCATTAGTTTATTTATATATAAATCCCTTTTTCTCTAACATTGACATAGCTCTACATTTTCTTCAGGACTATTTTCACTGTCCTTCAGATTCTGATATATTGCATTTACATTATCATTTATTAATATGAATTACTGAATTTCTTTTTCTATACCTTCAGGGCCCCATTAGCTATTCAATAGTGTAATTTTCAATCCCTGTCCCCATCTTTTCTCTGTGGTTTCTTTGATGTTGCTTTATAAATTCATCATATTGTGATAGTATCAGACAACTGAGACTTTTAAAAATATTTTAAGGTCAATAACACTTACTTTATGGGCTTAAAATATTGTCTATTTTGAAGAAATTTCCATGAAGTTCTACAAAGAATGTGGACTATTCTCTTTTTAAATGAAAATCTCTGTAGTATTCTGTTTGGTCTATTTTAATTATAACACAGTCTAACTCTAATTTTTCTTTGCTGTATTAATTCTAGTTGACCATGTATTTGTGAGTATAGGATACTGAAGATACCCACAATTATTGTGTTGAATTCTATGTGACCTAGTATATCATGAAGGGTTTTGTGAAACTGGGTACATCAATGTTGGGTATATGTATATTTACAGTGGTTGTCTCTTGGTAAAATGCTCCCTTTGGCAATAGGCAGTGGCCTTCTTTATCTCTACTGAATAATTTCTGCTTGAAGTCTACTTTGATGGATCTAAGCATGCTCCTCCAACTTATTTTACTGTTCAAACTGACTGAAGTTTCTTTAACTTTCAATCAGTGTCTTTTGGAGCAACATGTGATTCTTTCAGGCTCCATCTGGGTGTTGTGTTTTGATCTAATCCATAATTTTATGTCACTCACTGAAGGCTTAAGACAATTTCATTGAATATTATTAAATGTTTTGTATTAATTTATTTCATTTTATTCTTTTTCTAGTGTTTTTTTGTATTTGGTACTTCTTTTTTTCCCCCCTATTCCCACAATTAGATGCATTTTTTCAGATTGGTCTCATGATTGTGACTGCCTTATCTATTTTCAAAATTTTCTTAACAATTTTTGAACATTCTTTATTCAGTCAGTCAATTTCTTAAGACTTCTCTTTGAGAGTCTTTATTTTTCCTTCAATTTAACTAGGTATAGTACTGTAAGTTTCAAATTCTTTTCTTCAGGGCTTGAAGTACACCAGTTGAAGCCCTCTGGATCTTAGATTTTCAGGGGAAAACTTTATTTTTGCCTCTGGAAAATAATTCTAATCAATTTAGCATTTCTTTGTATCTGTGTTCAATCTTCTATGTCTAATTTTTTTTTTTTGAAATATGACATGATATGCTATGTGGAGTTTCTTTTTGGTCATGTTGATTTGCCTCTGTTTCCTAGTAGAAGTTTCTCCTACAATTCCATTGAGTAGGTTTTCTATGCCATTGGCCTGTTCTCTGTCATCCTACTTGAATCTTCATTTTATTCTTTGAGATTTTAAAATGTTTCTTAAAGAATTTTCTCATTACTTCTCTTTATTCTCTTACTAGGCCATTGTTGCAGCATATCCACTTTGTCATCTAATTCTGATATTCTTTCTTGTTATTCATCTTATTGTTGATGAGACATTCATTTGAATTACTCATTTGACTAGTTAAGGATTGACTTCAAGGATTTCTTACTTCTTTTCCCAGAATTTCTATTTTTAGTAAGGCAGTCTATCATATATTGTACCATAATTTCCTCCTTGATTCACTCAGTTCTCTATTGTATCTTTCATGATCTCATTAAATATTTAAGGGTTTTATTATTTCAGCTTTTTATTTGCATCATCTTTGTTCTTATTAATCATTTTCACTATCATTTTTTAAAAATTTCTTCCTCTGCAATATCAATGGGATCAATTTTTGTGAGTGAATTATAAATTATGGAAATATACTGTTTCCTTGTTTTCTGATAAGTATTTGAATGTGTGCATGTTTGTGTCAGTGTGTGTGTGTGTGTGTGTGTGTTTGTGTGTGCATATCCTGAAATTTGAAGATCACTGAGAAGGGAGAGTGGAAAACCTATTGTGTGGATATCTTTTGAATAAGTGGCTTTGTGGTTTTGATATGTCTTAGGCTGTGGTGTCTCAGCATGAGGTTGATATGTTACCAATTTTTTTGATATAGTAGCCACCAATACGTTCAATATGTCATGAACAAAACATATATCAATGTGAAATTTTAAACTTCTTTGAAAAATTCACTACCCTGGAATTGAAAGGGAGAGAAACATTGTGGGAAAGAAGGAAAATAGGACTTAATGAGAATATTTATGTATAAGAACAAGGGAGGGACACCCTACAGAGGTCCGCAGGCATGTGGAACACAGCAAATCAGCCCGCTACAGACAGGCAGGTCTGTACACACCCTACCAAGGTCCCAAGTCATGCGGAAGATGCTGAATCACCCCGATGCAGACAGGCAGCCACCTAGTTCCACACTGCAAAGATGCAGAGGACACCAGACCACCAGACAAAGGTACTGAGTCCCGCTGCTTCCAGCCCAGAGGTAGGGACTTCTGAGCCGCCATCCCACTGCTCCTGGTCCAGAAGAAAGGGCTCCCCAGTCACCATCCCTCCAGCTGTTCCCAGCCCAGAGGAAACGGCTTTTGGGTCACCATCCCTACCACTGCTCCCAGCCCCTGTCCCACCTCTCCCAGCTCAGAAGAGGTAATCCATGCAGGTGCTAACAGCTGCCACCCTGCCCCATTTGAAATGAGAAAACATGTAAAAAAGTCTCAAAACCAGACTTCCAGATCACCTACAGCAACCCCAAAGGGGCATGAGATGGAACACTCTGATACTCAACCACCTGGACCCACTGAACTGGGTACAAAAGGGGATCTGGAAAAAATGAAATCAGAAATAATTTCTCAGATAACAGGAGAAATTGTGCCCCTAATGCAAGACATGATTAATAAATCTAGAGAGGAGCT